CTAAATGCAACATGGTTGGAAACACAAGGGAATGAAGGGTAGATACCGGTACAACCCGTCATGTGTGTGCTGATAGAGCAATGCTCTCTAACTATCAAGAACTGAAAGGGGAACAACTATTCATGGGGAACGCTGCAAGTTCCAAAATTGAAGGACAAGGCAAAGTCACTTTAAAGATGACATCTGAAAAAGAGTTAGTCCTCAACAACGTCCTACATGTGCTGGATATTTGAAAAAATCTTGTATCCGAATCTCTTCTTAGTAAAAATGGTTTCAAACTTGTATTTGTATTCGATAAATTTGTGTTGTCTAAGAATGAGATATATGTAGGAAAAAGACACGTGTGACAGAATGTTCAAGATGAACATTCTAACCGTTGTACCAAAACAAGGCATTATGAATAAAGTAACGAATTCTATTTACTTACTTGAGTCTTGTTCATGGCATAATCGATTAGGACATGCGAATTGTAATTCGTTGCGCAAACTTATGAATCAAAGTTTAATTCCGACGCTTGAAATTGATCCTAATCACAAATGCGAAATATGTGTTGAAGCAAAATTGGCTAAAACACCGTTCCATTCAATTTAAAGGAACACGGTACCTCTAGAATTAATCCATAGTGATAAATGTGATTTGAAATTCATTCAAACTAGAGGGAGTAAGAAATACTTTGTAACTTTTATCGATGATTGTACAAAGTATTGTTATGTCTTTCTTTTAAGAAGCAAAGATGAAGCCTTAAATGCATTTAAACAATATAAGGCTGAAGTTGAAATGCAACTTAACAAACAAATTAAAAATATTCGTAGTAATCGAGGAGGTGAATATGGGGCATCATTTGAAGAATTCTGTTCCGAACATGGAATCATTCATCAAACAACGGCTTCATACTCTCTTCAATCGAATGGAATTGCTGAACGCAAAAATCGAACTCTTAAAAAGATGATGAATGTGATGTTAATAAGTTCGAGTTTACCTCAGAACTTGTGGGGGGGGGGGGGGGTTTTCTTTTGATTATATATATATTGGATACACTAAAAGTAGTAGTGCATTTTGTTTCCTAGTACATAAATTTAAAATTCAAGATGTACATGAAGGAATCATAATTGAATCAAGAAATGCATCATTCTTCGAGAATGTTTTTCCATGAAAAGATAAGAAAATACATGTTCAAATAAAAGAATCTATGAATTTACAAGTGGTACTTCAAATGAGGAAGAACCAATGCGTAGTAAAAGGGCTAGAATATCTACTTTGTTTATCCCATATTTTTCTAACCTGTATGGTAGAGAATGATCTAAAGACTTTCAATGAAGCATTATCTACACCAGAAGTACCACATTGAAAATAAGCTATCAATACTGAAATAGATTCTATAATGCAAAATTATGCTAGGGAGTTAATTGATTTACTTCCTGGAAACAAGCTTTTAGGGTATAAATGGATTTTTGAAAAGAAACTAAAATTGGATGGTTCTATTGATAAATATAAGGCTAGATTGGTTGTCAATAGATATAGATAAAAGGAAGGACTAAAGTTTTTTTTTATACCTACTCACCCATAACTTGAATTACTTTGATAAGGTAGTTAATTGCTATGTCGCATTACATAATCTTGAGATTCATCAAGTGGATGTAAAAAATGGCATTCCTAAATGGTGATTTAGAAGAGGAGATATATATGAAACAACCTGAATGGTTCGTGTCTCCAAATGAAAGCCATAAAGTATGTAAATTTGTCAAGTCCTTATATGGCTTAAAACAATCTCCTAAGCAATGACACCAAAAGTTTGACAAAACAATGTTGTCAAATGGATTTAAAATAAATGAATGTGACAAGTGTGTATATGTGAAAAATACACCGAATGTCTATGTGATAGTATGTCTATATGTACACGATATGTTGATAATAGACAATAGTCACGAAATGTTGACAAACACCAAGAAAATGCTAACAAGGCATTTTGACATGAAAGACATGGGTGTGACAGATGTAATACTAGGGATAAAGATCTCTAGAATATCGGAAGGAATCGTACTTTCCCAATCTCATTATGTTGAGAAAATACTTAAGAAGTTTGAAGTATTTGAGGAAAGTCCTACAAAGACTCCTATTGACACAAGTCTACACTTGGTCAAAAATAAGGGAGAAATCGTGTCACAACTAAGATATTAACAAATAATTGGCAGTCTAATGTATGTTACAAACTGCACTCGATCGGACATTGTATTTGTGGTGAATAAACTTAGTAGATTCACAAGCAATCCAAGCCATGATCATTGGGTGGCATTGATAAGGGTCCTTAGGTACTTGAAGTATACCATGACCTATGGATTACGGTATTAGAAGGATATTGTGACGCGAATTGGATATCCGATATGAAGGATTCCAAATCAACAAGTGGTTATGTGTTTACACTTGGTGGAGCTACTATTTCATGGAAATCTTCAAAGCAAACGTGTATAGCTTGATCAACTATGGAATCAGAGTTTATTGCTTTAGACAAAGCTGGTGAAGAAGCAGAATGGCTTCGAAATTTTTTAGAAGATATTCCATGTTGACCTAAGCTGGTACCTGCCATAAGCATACACTGCGATAATCAATCGGCTATTGAAAGGGCTAAAAGTAGCATGTACAATGGTAAGTCTAAACATATACATCCGAGACATATTACCATTAAGCAATTGATCTCAATGGGCGTCATCTCCATAGATTATGGAAAATCAAAGAAGAATGTTGCGGATCCGCTTACGAAAGGTTTGCCAAGAGATCAAATACGTTGCCTATCGAGAGGAATGAGATTAAAACCTCCTACGTTAGAGTCTTTGTAATGGTAACCCTACCTTGTTAACTGGAGATCCCAAGATCTTGGTTCAAATGGACGACTAAGTTATGAGAATTCCATGAAGCACTTAGGAAATAATTTCCTAACTCATTCCTATGATACCAAAGTGCTTTCTACAGAATTGGAAGAGGTTAAGATAATCTTTTAATGATTCCTATATCTTGATTAAATCAAGTGGAGTACGGCAGAATACTCTTAATAGGAGGTCACCTATGTAAGTGTGAAGTGAGGCTGTTTCAATGAGAATTATTCAAGGTTTAAATTCTCTAAAATACTTGCAGAACCAAGAGGGGTTCAGGGCCAAAATGAACCAAGTCATGAGAACCAAGAACGGAATTAGGGAAGACATTGTGTGAGTATTGTTGTCTTGGCTTACACTAACGGCTGGTCGGTTCAAGACATCACGTTCACCAACTAGCCAAGTAAGCTCAATAATATTTCACTAGGGAAGGTTCAAATCTGGAAGCTACCTTGCCCGATGCAATATTTCTCCGCTGTCTCTCTACAATTGCATGTATCGTGTCACATATCATTTGCATACTCGAATTTCCATTAATGTGGGGGATTGTTGGAAATTGGTTTCCAAATTAACATGAAAGATCGGAAATTAGTTAAGTAAAAATTGAAATCGGAAAGTGTGACTAATATGTCAACTTCGGCTGAATATTCAGACTTGATCCGATGGTCAAATTACAAAAGTAAAAAGTCCAACTTGTTCTAATCATCGAGTAAATGATCGTAGTATATTTGGACATTAGAAACCAATTTCGGGTGAATGAGAAATTGCGATCCAAAGATTGGAGGAAAATACGGTGGAAAAGGGCTAAAATACACTGTTGCTCGATGTTCGCTCGAGCGACAGTGTTGCTGTCGCTCTATGTTCGCTCGAATGACAGTCTCGTTCGCTCGATCGAAATTTGAGCCAAGAGTGAGCGAAGTATGCTCTGCTCGGATTTTTGAAGCGCAGCTCGAGCGAAAAGCTAGCGAAGATGGAATGTTGCAACTATTTGAAAGATTGCACAATTTGGCCCGCACCACTTCATCCACACCCTTTTCTCCTCTATAAATAGGACCTCTTGGATGTCCCTAAGGACACACCAACTCATATTTTGCATTGAGCACTCTTCTTCTCTTGCAAAATCTCTCTCTCTTTTTCTTGCATAAAATCCCTTTGTAGAGGGGGAAATTCCGTCGGCTCGTCGGTTCTTGTGGTGTGAAGTGCTACTACCACAAGATTAAACCTCCGTTGTATCTTGGGAGACAAGTACTGTCAACCGTGAGCACCATATCAGGGCAATATTGTCTTAAGGAGAAAGTGTCATCACTTGCCTTGGATTTCATTTCTTTTTCTTCTCATTTTCTTGTTTCATTTTGATACCTTGATTTTGTAATTTTGTACTACACTTTCAAGTTCATATATCGATAGTTTGATCACGCTCCTGCAGGTTAAATCATACCGCTCACATAAACCCCGGAACCAACAGGTTTTTCCAGCCCAAATTTTATGTATTGAAATTTGAGTTGTTTTCCCGGAGTTGGAAATTCTACGCATAACTAGCCTGCTTATAAATTCAGCACATAGTTAGCCTAGATCATTGTACCTCTCCCATGCATTGTAAAAGGTCTCATTGTACCCCTAGCTAAACTACAAGAATTTTATGTTTTCCCTAAAAAAAAAATTGTTGGAAAAGGTTCTTTGTGGGAAAAAACTTTTGTAGAAGAAATACATTTGTAGGCACATTTGTGGGGCAAATATCGAAGGGATAGGTAAAAGATAACAAATTTTCAAAATTTGTAGGCTAAATATTTTCCCTACGAAGCCTTTAGAGACGAATACAATACATTACGTAAGATTTTCCCCGACAAAATCGTTCGTCTACAAAAGTTAATTTTGCCCACAAAAATGTTTCACTTTTCCCTACAAATAAATTTTGTGTGAAAAGGATATTTGTGGGCTAAGATATACACATTTTTTCCTACAATTAAAAATTTGTGACAATATGGTACAAATTATTTTGTGGACTAAACCTTGCTTTTCGCTACAAATAATTTTTTGTAGGGAAAGCGTGGGCTATTATGAAATAATTCGTATGGAAAAATTAAACTATACTACTTTATTCAAAATAATATAAAGATACAAAAAAACAATAAATTAATTAAGAATTGTCAATATAACATTGAATCCAAAATATTTCATCAAAACACAAATAAAAATCATTCACCAAATATAATTACATCTAAACTTAAAAATAGTATAGCAAATGCTCTATATCTATTATTATGCACCTAAAAAATACATCTCTACATTCTCGTGAATTAGATATGCAGCTGATCTTCACCAAATTGGTGCTCCTTATCAAATAGTGTACGAGACTACCAACCTGAGGAAAGGAAACCAATGGACCAGCACAAGCATGCCATAGCTGAGAATTTATTGTCTTCCTTGTCCCTCTAGCAAATAAAGTTAAAAAACAGAATGTATTCAGAGATCACAAAATTATGAATCAGGAACCAAATATATAACTAACCAACAAAAAGGACAAGAGAAACACTAAATCAATATTAACTTAAATCACAAACTCCAGCAACTCTTTGAATTCAAATCATAATTAACTAAAATTAATTCTCCCTGCTCAACAATAACAAATAGCAGACAAGGAAAGTCATTAAAAGCATTTCTCTCCTCTATGAAACTGATGGTTGAGTTAATGACCAGAAGAGTAATAATCCCAACAAAGTCTTCCCAATCTGGTGTTTTCCCTATAAAGATTAAAAATGGAAGTAGACTGATAATAAGACCCAAAAAATAATGGAGGAGGGAGAAGGGAGAGGGGACAGATAAAAAATAAATAAAATCCTTTCACCCAATTTAAAAATCTTATTTTTTTTCTAACTTTGCAATATATTTTCAATTTCGATGAGGATTTGAAACTATAATAGTTAAAATCCCTATTCTTTTCTACAGAGATTTCCAATCGAAGAACTTCATTCGGAATTAAAATATGGGGGGAAGACAGAGTGCAAAAAAAAAAAAAAAAAAAAAAAAAAAAAAAAAATGAAAAATAAATATATAGTACAAAAACAAACCAAAATTGCTGAAAATTTTGCATCAATGCCTTAATGGAATAACTAGATGGTCAATCTAACTAGATTAAATGAAAAGCCAAATATGAATTTGTACATGGATCTAACACTTTAGTAAAATAAGACTCAAGCTTCACTTCTCGTAGTTCTATCGACGTGAGTGATGCCTCAAGACTAAACTGATTCCCATAGTTCTTCAACTCTAGCTTGACTTCTCGAAGTTCTATCGACCGCGTGATCCTTATTAACTCAAGCAAGCCCAATTATACGTGTATTTGCAATATAGTTTTCCTTAATAATTTTGTTATTACTCGTTCATGTAACAAGAAATAAGCACTTTTGGAAAAACCAACAGTAATTGGTTGACTCTGGCTTCCAATTATCTGGGACCACAAGGTACAGAGTTCTCATGGGCACTGGCCTAACTGTAAAGGAGAGGGCATATATGTAGAAGTTAAGTTGCAACTATAAAGCAATTCTTTAGCTTTTGGTATTCAAATAATGTCAAATCAATGGAATTACAGAAAGACTCATCATGCCCTTTATTTAACATGACAAAATTGATAATTGAATTTTCACTTTTCAAACTCAATTAACTATCCTTAACTAAGTGAAGTGCTGCGGCAAGAACAGTACTAGTAAGTCAATTTTTGCATATAATTTCCCTGACTAAACATTGCTTTATGAAGAGTTTTGGTTATATTATCTTTATAAGTAAAAACTAACAGCGGGATTCGGGCTGAATGAGAATTGAGACAGTTTCTTTATTGCAGAGTTTTGATCAATAAAGTAGTAAGTTAAAATAGTTGAATAAGCATTTTATAGTACGTGCCATAAAGATAATGTGACAGAATAAGGTTCAATGGAAACCAGAGCCAAAAGGGATACACAGAACAAAGACAAAATGAAGTTACAGAACAACAATTGCATCTCATAAATTGGTTGAAGCACAATATTAATCAGAAGTTCGGGACACAAAATATTATGATAATTTTGAATCCATAACATTTTCAATGGAGTTTAAACCCTCACTTTATTGTAGATCTCATATATTCCACTGTAAACCAATAAATGAATTGATAGAAACCCAATAAACGAATTTATAACAATCGAATAACCTAATTTGCATTTCACAATATGTTCCAACAAAATCGATAACAACCCGACAAATAAAAATCAATAATGATACCTCTAAGCTGTCCCTGGCGCTGACTTGGATCTTTAGGTTACTGGGCTTGACGGCTGATGGCTTATTCAAGGTTATGGGAGAAGAAGAAAATTGAAGGGAGAAGAAGAAATGAGACGTGGAAGGAGAAAGAAAGAGGAAAAGGAAGATAGAAGAAAAAGATGAAAAGAAAGGAAATTGGACAGAAAACGTGGGAAGAAAAGAAAAGGAAAATAGAAGAAAAGGAAAGGAAAGGAAAAAAAAAAGAAAAGAAAGGGAAATTCACTTCAAATATTCATTTTGTAGGGATAAAAAATACAAATAAAAATCGAAAATTTTCCCGCTAATTATTAGCCTACAAACATGTAAGATATTTCTGTAGGTAAAAGATATATTTTGCCTGTCAAATTTTTTGTCTAGTAAAAATACAAAATTTTGTGGGCATAACTCTTTGGACTATTTAAAATTTTGAAACAAATTATAGCCCTACAAAATGTCTTTTTTTGTGGGGAAAGGTGAATTCCGCCCACAAGTTTCAATTTGTCTCCCAAAATTTTGTAGGGAAAGTACAAATTTCTTGTAGTTTAATTGATTTCATTCCTCAATTTTAGAGACTGTGTAGGACAAAAATATTTCATCAATAATTATTTGAATAAATCGTTCCATGTAGTTAGTGTCCAAGGAGGTTATGAATGTAGCCAAATCTTTGCTATGTCCCTTAATGAGATTGAGAATAGAACATTGGATATTCCATTGATGTTTAACGTATTGCAAGCCCCCAGAAATTGTGCCAGTTATCATGGGAATCTCTGTGAGAAAGACCTGAGAATTGCAAGTGAGTTTGAAGTGTACCAATTGTCCAAATTTTTTTGTTTCAAAATTATTTTCTTCTATCCCCTTGGAGCTATGCTAGATTGAGCTCCAACAACAGTCTAAGGGATAAAAATTGCAATGGTTTTTTAGGAGGATGTTCCATGATATATGTTCTCTTCCTGTTTTCGTAGTTTTCGATGAAAAGTAAGTTTAATCTTTAGGTCAAAAGGATCTAAGTCCATAGTAGTCGCACGTGCCATGCACTAGACAACAAGAACCTCAAAGAACAAAAGCCAAACTAAATATATTCAAATTAACACTTCAAGTTTCATAGAGGGATGTTTTTCACCAATTTTAGAAGGTGGGGGAATTCTCACAATTGGTGAGGTAAGGGGTAATGCGCTATTCAGCCTTATTTTTGAATAGGTGAATAATATAATTCAAACTTCTTATGAAAATTACATTCTGCAGAGTCGTTCGCAAGTCATCTTTTCAAGCTCATGTTTGAATTTTTCCATAGCCAATGGCGGCAAGCATATTGGTACCACAACTCCATCTTCTCCCTTACTGTTCTTGAAATTCGTAAAAACGCTAATATTTGAAGTGGCCCAAGGAATTCCACCATACACTGCATTGCCCCATCCAAAATCAACCTTATCAAAACCTAAACGGGTTATGTCTGAAACAATAAAATTCCAACCTGCTGCGAATTTGGGTCGTTTCTTGATCACCATAAGATCTGCCACAGATTTAATGTATTCTTCACTCATTTGAGCCTTTGCATTTTGAACTAAATAAACTACATATGATAATGGAGCAGTGCATAAAATTCTGGCAGTGGATACTGCTGCTGGACAGAAGAAAACATTGCCGTAGTATCCAGTCGGTATATTCAGGATTCGCTTACCACGCACATTGGTAACGACTGAAAGATGAACAGTCTCGTCTGGATCAGATGGATTCAGTGCATTCGTACGACATTTCCATAAGCACGCTGCTATCAGATCAAATCTTGAACAACTATGAAAACTTCCCGACGAGGATAGATGATTATAAAGTGCCTGTATATCTTCAGGAGAAAAGAAAATGGCAGCCCGAATTAGCTTGTCAGAATCCAAAATGTCTGTGGATTGTGGTATTTGTTCATATTCATTGTGTATGCATGTAATTCTTGGGGGTGATCTTGCATTCAAATGTTGTTCTCTTTGCCATACAGGTGGAATAGAAGGTGAAGATGCGCCTTTCACTAATTCAGAAATAGCATTTAGAAATTGCATTATCCCATAACCATCCGCCATAGTGTGGTTCAACTGGATTCCCAAAGCAAATCCACCACAGATGAATCTGGTTACCTGCATTCAGGATTAATTTAAATGACTCATTTTAGGACCTAAATAAGTGTATAAGCTACTTAACATCACCCATAAACTTCTAAAACATAAATTTCAAGTGCTTATTGTAATCCAATAAAAGCTAATGTTATGTTTTAGATGAGTGTACACAGCACAAATACTCTGTCGGTTCAAATCATATTGTCACCTATTTTTTGAAAATTATACACGCTAGGTGTTCGATGAAAATAATGAATTCAACGTACAAGTGAAGAAGTATACATTTATTGGGTAGTATGCCTTTATAGTGTAGTTTTGTTGTAATAAATAAAATTGTTCACAACAAATCTATAAGGATTAACACCTTGTATTGAAACATTGTAATGTGAATTATTTCACTATTTTGGTTAAAAATAGTTTAATGATGATACTAGTATACTTAAAATGTATTGAATGAACCACGTGTTGAGTTTAATTTTATAACATGATTGTGTGAAAAAATAAATTCCACTTGATCGTTGGATAGTTTATCTAAAATATTCATGGATATGATTGTGTGTGTGTATATATATATATATATATATATATATA